TCTCCGTTAGCACTAATTTCCGGACTTCGACTGTAATCTGTGTATTGGCAGAACTACCATGGTTGAGTTTTGATTGATTGGTTCATTGTGATTTCCAGGCGCTTGATTTTCTTCGATTATTGGAAAGGAGGATAATCGTAGGGAAAGATTGGCTCGAAGGTCCGCCATCCAACCCTCGTTGCCTACTGTGCTACTCCTACAAATTATCTGGAAAACCTTACCTCTAATCAGAGCAGTCGGCCTACGAATGCGATTCCGGCAGGCGCCAGAAATTCACGGATGCTATATAAATCAAGTGTTCTTCCGGCATCCTGCCCTGATTAAGCCCGCGACCTCCCAATTAGACTCCGTAAAGTACGCTCTGCCGACCGTAACGTCCACAGTTACAGGTGTTTCGATATTATGGAGGATGGGTCATATTGAGATAAGGGGTCAGCCCTAAGGGTGGAGAGGGAAGGGTTGCGCATAGGCCGTGGTCCGTTACTGAAGAAACTTCTTCGGCACTTTCCGTGAAGTGCGGGAACGACCAATCAGAACGACAGGTTGGGCGTCGTGACTTCTCGTCCAGGAGTAAATCAGTATTGGCCTCGCAAGGTTATTTGGTCGGTGCGGTGTCGACAATCCGCGACCTCCAGAACTGGAAACTTGGACCTGCCCAGTATACGCAGCTTCAAATGCATACTTGCAATTAAATACGATATCGCACCTGTCACGTTCTGCGCGAAGGGCCGACTCGATCTGTCGAAAGGTTGTGGCATTCGAAAAAGGTTGTAGCATTCATCACTGCATTACACTACACCAGATGTTCATCCTCAAACCATTACTTATTGACGTGTAATAGAAGCGAAATGATTGAAATTGCACGCTGAGACCTACATTTAGTGACATACGTTTCATGTGGAATGATTATTTTTTAACAATTCTAAACGTTCCTATTGTATTATTGAAATTAGGTTCAGTTTGCCAGAAATAACTAATACCCCACGTCTCCTATTTCTTCTGCAATGTACTTCCCATAATTATGGCGGTCGCAAGCAGACGGGCCTATACACCAAAACTGTGTTATGAGAAAAACGCATTGAAAGTTTTCAATCATAGCATTCTACACACTAGTCTGTTTAATTACAAATTATATATTATTTCAATAAATTATACACTTCCTTTCATTTAAAACATAATTAAATTCTCCTTAATTTCAAACATGTGGTGTAAAGAAAAAATGTGTTAGAAACCCTTCTTCTGCAGAACACCTTATATTTTTAATGAAATGGTGAAAATTATAAATATTCTTAAGTGTTATTTTTCTTTTATTCATAAAATACTCATACAAATAATAACGTGGTTTGTTACCTAATTTTTACGTCACAGTTCTTGTGAGCTATCAGATTCGGATTCACGTTTGTCAACATTTCCAGTGGACACCTCTTGAGGAGTATACTCTTCAACAAATTTTGGTAACATTTCTTTCTTTTT